ATAGCACCTATATCAGCCTGAAATGCTGATAATCATAACCCTGTTTGAGAGAATTGTCTCCAGAAGAATGGACAAAGGACTCCCCTCCAGGGCTTGCTGTCAGTCATGCCCCTTTGGTCCCAAGGCAACCTCTGCACCAAACACTGCATCTCTCCTGCCTGTAAAGCCAGTACAAGAGCTCCGCGCTGCCAGTGCCGCTGCAATCGCCCTCCATGTGTACACTGTCTCAGTCTTCCTCTGCCTTCAGGTGGCTCTTGTCAGCCAGCCTCTCTTTGCAACTAACCTGGACTCAGCCTCTCAGAGATTCAAAAACTGGCTCCTTCTTTTAAAAGCACTTCTGAGGTTGATGAGATAACTCAGTGGACTAAGCATCTGCTTAGGCAAGTGCAGGGACTGGGGTTTGGTCCCCTGTACTGCATGCTGTGCTGGCCCCGCCCCTGGGTGTGCTGAGCTGGCCACTGAATCTGGGCATGGTGGCACATGCCTATAGTCCTAGTGCTGGGGAGGCTGCAGACAGGAGGATCACTATGGGTCTGAGCTGCATAGTGAAGCCCTGTATCAAATACACTGAATAAACAAACAAGCAAATAAATAAATAAAAATCAAAAGCACTTTTGGTTAATGACACTTCTAAGCTGTCTGCTGGAAAGACACAAAAGCTCTGCTACATTATCTGGCAGAAACTGGTTACAAGAAAAAAACTTAGCAAATGTCTTGGAGCTGCTGGCTTCTGTAGAATCTGGATCCCGAGTTCACAGAACTGTAGTATAGTGCCAACTCAGGATGCCAGCCCCTGGGAGCACCCAGCAGCTACCTGTGTAAATACCTGCCCCAGTCACTAAGGGCTGACTCCGCATTTGCCTCTGCACTCTAACAGACACTGTCTTGATCAAGGAAGCTGATGAGCTCACCTTAGGCCAAGACCTCACTGTCTGGGTGCCGCACGCTGTGCTGGACCTCATCCAGTACCAAGGATTCTAATGCAAAGATCCCTATCTGACTCTTGTAGTGATAAAAACACTCAATCCTGCCACAGATCTGCCTACAGAACTGGGCCCAACAGACCCAACAAAGTACTGTTAGCCAAAGTTCCCCTGCTCCAGCTTCCTGCTGCTATTCAGAAGTCTGCAATCAATGACCAGAGCCAGACCTGTCCCCACTGTACATTCTGTTAGCTCAAGCCACTGCGTAGTCAGCTCAGGCTCCAGCATCTGTGTCACTGGCCTGACCTCCCTTCCCTACCCATTCTGAGAAGACAATAAAAGTTTGTAGAGTCCTGCTGTAAACAGATATGGCCTACCCTTGATCACTGACAGCAACAATGGCCTTGCCGAAAAACTAGATTGAACAGAAACTACATACAGCTTGTAACCAGTTAAAAGACCAGCTATACCTGTAGACACTCCTGCACACACATATAACCCAGGTACATACTAACTACCTCTACAAGTCTTAGATACTCAGCCTTAGATCTGCTGAAAGCTTCACTGGACAGTTTCTCTGAGGCTCACTCAGAGGACACTGTGAACGCTGACCAGTCCACAAACAGTTGAAGCCTGAGGACATCACTCACAGGATTGCTCCATACCTATTCTCTTTGAGTTTTGTTCTTTTCAGGCTGCTTACCCCAGTCCTTGCTTCCCCACCCTTGCTAGCTGTGTTTTAGTGCCATAAACACTCTATGAACAGTAGATCCAAGAGAATAGAACAATCAGTCAAACACTTGATCAAGATTTGATGAGCATCCAAGACACACTGGACACTCTCCTAGATCAGATTAATTCCCTCATGACCTTGACAGTGTAATGTTACAGAATAGAAAGGCCTAAATTCTAGTTGGGCTTTTCTCAGAAGAACACATGTAATATGTCCAGCAAACATTTACTGGGGAACTTAAAAGAGGGAGGAAATGTAGCAGAAAACGCGCCCCTCCTCCCCCTGCCGTGCACCAGTATACTCTAGTTTCTTAGGTGTCTAGGTAGTCGTCCCTGTTCCAGTCCTGGTTGCTTTTGTCTCTTAGAAATGGGTGGTCACTGTGATGCATAGCTGGTACCATGATGCATATTGTGTCCACCAGTCACCAAGTGACAAGCCACTCTGCCTCTGTACTTCCTGCTTGCTTATCCCATATAAGCCTCACACCACCAGAGATCAGGACCTGATATTCTGGGAGTGATCCAGATCAGTGCAGTCAATGTAAGTAAATCTGTCTTAAAATCCAGACCGTCATGTCAGTGTTTCTGCTCGCTGTTGCAGAAGAAGACGCCTGAAAGTAAGAGTCCCTTAAAGGAAAGTGACGAGAACATCCAAGCCAGGCTTCATGGTACTATTAGAGTGTCACCATGGCTGGGAGTCAGAGAAACTTTTGGCTCCTTCCTTTCCTCCGCGCTCACGTTGGGATGAAGAGGCTTCATTTCATACAGGTGCAGGTGAAGTAGAGAACTGGCCTCTGGAGCACCTTGGTGGGTAGGGGGCCGGTGCCACCTGCTTGGCTCACCTGAGCCTGCCTTCCATTGCACAGGCACAAAAGAGAGATCTCCAAGGCCCCAGGGTGGTCTGCAAGCCTACACCTGCTCTTGAGCCTTTTCCAGTCATGAGCAGGCCATTATGAGGCATGGGCCACACCTCCAGTCTATGATCCTTTCCAGGACTTGCACAGGGCTTCCATTTCTCAGAATCAGAAACTTGATTTCATAACCCCAAGTCATATGATGCAAGACCCAGGACAGCTGATGGTTCATCTGGGTTTCAATCTTAGCTGCAGCCTACCTTGCAGGGATGTAGGCCCACTGGTTCTCTCTCTTTCTGCCTGCTCCAACAGATCAGGCCAGGAAGCTAGGCTCTCACTGAAATGTGCCCCATAGTTCTGGTAAGATCTGTTGTTTACAAGACCCAAACCTAGGTCACAAAGCCATGAGGTGACCACTTAGTATCCTCTGTGACCAATGTTCCATAGAACCAAATGGATACTAAGAAGGTCATAAATTTTCCTGTCTTCCTTCAGTACCCAAAGCTCAGTGTTCATTTAAGCTTGGACTTTATAGACTGACAATTAGTGTCACAAGTAAGCTTGAAGTGCCTGATGTAACATCAGAGACTCTGGAAATACAAACACTGATCTGTGAAATCAAACCCAATTTTCTGAACAAATGAGTCCCTCCTGAATGAAATCTCTGCAAGTTCAACCTCTGCTAATGGTCAACAATATTCTTGTTAGAATTATAATCAGGATAACTGGCAAATAGATCAATTGCTCTTCTCTGTTAAAAAATATGTTTTGTGATTTGCCATGCAGATTTTGGAATTCATTTAAATATAAGAAATACTACTAAGTCTTCTCATTGGCAAACTGACATATTTCATGTTTTCCAAGATTGCTATAAAAAAAGGTCTCCTACCAATTCATATTGCCTATTTGTATTGTTTGTAATGTATAGTTTTCCTCTAAGCCCTAATTTTGATAAAACGAGAGAGAGAGAAAGAGAGAGAGAGAGAGAGAGAGAGAGAGAGAGAGAGAGAGAGAGAGGAGGAGGAGGAAGAGGAAGAGGGAGAGGGAGAGGGAGGGAGAAGGAGGGAAAGGGAGAGAGAGAGCGGGAGGGAGCAGGAGGGAGAGGGAGAGGGAAGGAGAAGGAGGGAGAGGGACAGGGAGAGACAGGGAGGGAGAGGGTGAAGGAGAGGGAGAGGGAGGGAGAAGAAGGGGAAGGGAGGGAGGGAGAAGGAGAATACATTCTTTCCTTCTTGGGCCAACTGCTTTACTCATTGATTTATGTGTTCTAGTTCCTGAGTGGCTGGGTCTAGACCGACATTGCAAAGAAAGGGCCCACATGGCCCAGCTCTGGCATACGTGTGGGCCGCCTATTCTAGGTTCCAGGATCTCAGCTTCTGCCTCCCCTGAACAGTACAGAAAGAAGCTGAGTGGGGCCTGTGGTCTATGACTGGCCCAGCTTCAGACAAGGGCAAGATGAAAATCAAGTGGCTCCTCGAACCATCTTCAGGATTTTGTTTTTCTCAACAATGCTAATGGGTGAGACTTGGTGGTGGTGCATGCCTGTAATCCCAGCTCTTGGGAGGCTGTAAACAGGCGAATCACTATGAGTCTGATCTAGTAGTGAGGCCTTGAACACCATGTAGTAATGGGGAGGGTTGGTTGAGTGCTACCAGACACTCTTCTAAGTGCCTTACAGGCATTGCCTCATTTATGCATCGGCTCAGTTAGCCTACAGCCCCACCCCCACCCTCATGGGAGAAACTACTGCTACAGTCGTTCTCATTCTAGGACTTAGAAAACTGTGTCACAGGGAGGTTTAATGCATGGAAAGTAGTATTGCATAGAAGTTTATATAGAAGGTTATGCATACCTCAGTTGGGGGCAACTAATGCATAATTCTTAGTTTTCTAGTGTTGCAGGGGTCAAAATAGATAGTGAAAATATTTATCACCCATAAAGCACAAGTATCCCCCTGGCAGGACTGGCTCTGGGAGTGGCTCATATGCACAAGTTCTGGGAATGCCTGCTATTCTATGGGTAGATCTTTTGGTTGCAAGGCCCTGAGGAGATTCTCAGGGAAGGAATGAAGGGAGTGGGTAGAGAAGCTATTTCCCTATGTTTACAGAAGTATTTCACCATTTAATTCTTATTATTAAGAGAGTGTAAGACTGGGCATGGTAGTGCATGCCTGTAATCCCAGCTTTTGGGAGGCTGTAAACAGGCAGATTACTATGAGTCCAATCTAGTAGTGAGAACCTGGATACCCTGTGGACCCTTTCTTAAAAAATACAAAAAAAAAAAAAAAAAAAAAAGAAAGAAAGAAATGAAAATGAAGAACAAAAAAGAGAAAGTATAGCAGTTTGCATACAACTGACCATCTGAGAAGTTAGTGGGTTGTTGGCCAAAATAACCAGCTTGGCTGCCTTATTGCTATCAAATCTCCTCGAGTTCTTGGTTAATCCTCTGCAGTCTCCACTCCCTCAGAAGTACCACCAGTGCCCTCTGTGTGTACCTTTCTGGCAGTGCAGGCCCTCAAAGCCCAAGGGGCAGTCGCACTCATAGCCCTCCTTCCTCGGCCGGCAGCTGCCCCCATGGGCACAGGGGGTCCCCACACATGGGTGGGCAGCATTCTCCACGTTCACACCAGATGTAAAATCATGCTTCACATCGATGGTTCGGTCATTCAGAATGATCTTGGGAGAGAGAAATGAAAGGAAAATTTCAGGAAATGGGAAAATATCTTTGAAGTTTTCTAGCTTTCTTTTGGTACACCAATCCAAGCTACGAATGGGGAAGCTAAAAGACAAGAAAAAAGTTCAGCTGCTGCTTTGATTGTCTTGTGAGTGATGCGAGAGCTGAAGGGCTACATGCGGTGCTTGCAAGGAGCCACAGAGGAAAGCCCTTCTTTGATTCTGAAGGCAACTGGGAAGGCCAGGAAGAAGTCCCAAGAACGGCACCGCTCTGCTCCCCAGCCCGTTGCACAGTGGAATTGTCTGGGGGCTCTTGAGAAACCCCAAGTGCGACTGAGCGCACCTCTGGTCGTGGGATCCCGTCCTCAGTAACTTTTAAGATCTCCTAAGAATCTGGGAAGCTGCAGCCACAGCTGAGAGAGACTGCTGTGAGGCAGAGTAGGTGCCAGGACAAAATCAAGTGGTACAGAAGCATAGTCAAGGGGCAGCAACCACCTTTGTGCCTGTGGAATCCCCAGAGGCCTTCCGGCACACTCCTGTGGGCTTCTGGCTTCATTCCAACACAGTTGCCTACAATGCCATCAACCGGGTGTCCCCAGATACCCCACTCCTGTTACCCTCCTTCCCTGCCATTTCTGAGTTCCCCCACCTTCCACATCCTCTTTCCGCCCACTCAACGCCAGCCAGTGATGCACTGGTTGCATCGTCCCCTCACTGTGATGTGTCTGCGCGGGCACCTTTGCTCCATTTTCACTGCAGTGCAGCTATACCAAAAAGATGGGCTGCAGGGAGGGGTTGAGAGGCTCCTTACCCCCAGATAAGTGGACCCAGCACTTTCAGTCCTAGACTCAGGATGTGTGACAATGAACTGCTGCTCACCTTGCGGGACTCAGAGACAGGGAGAACACTCCCCAGGGAACCCCGAGGCCCAGGAGTCATCAGAGCTTAGCCACTGTGCTTCCTGCCTTGAAGCCACGTCTCTAAAGGCTTGCCTCCCCCTCAGAGAATATTAGGAGTAGGGAGGAAATTTCTCCCAGCCTTCTACAATGTCATATGCAGGTGAAGGATTATGAAGCTGAGTAGTGTGTACTCAAGACAAGTGAAGACTGGCACCAGCCACTGCTGGATACGGCACTGCCAATGATGTGGTTGGGGGTGGGGTTGGCCTACCTAGGTGGGAGGTGAGGGCTGTGTGCACTGTGTGGAGCCAGGGCAAAGCCCAAGAAGGGTAGCAGGGAGACAAAACTTCTTCCCCTCTCTGTGAAAACATGGCCCAAACCCACCCCTGGAGGGACGATGGTGAGATCTAATGTCACAGTTCAGCATCAAAGGGAAACACATCAGAGTCATCTGGGGCGCTTTCATGTGCCCAGCACCAGGAAATGAGAAGGACCCAGCCGCTGGCCCTCCTCTCGCCTCTGATACTTCCTCCAGCGATGGACCACCTGGCACGCCTGGCTGCTAAAGGAAGAGTAGCACACAAAGCCCAGGAAGCAAGCAAGCTGTCTCCAGATCCTTCCCCGCTGCCGGCTGGTGCTACAGCTCTGAACTAAGGGTCACTTGGATATGTGAGCTGATGGAGCACGTTCTCCTGACGTAAGGGATCGTGGGCATCCCCAGCAGAAGGAACACAAGATGAGTATAAGGGCAGTCGTGTCTTTCACTGGCTACTGCTCTTTTATGAACCTTCTAGGGAAGGGTTCTTGCATCTGTTCCTCTAAGGGTTTGGCCCCACGACTGATAGCAACAACGGCGCACCTGTGGGAGCTGGCTCTTCTCTGGTACAAACTGCACACTAATCCCCTTGAGAAGCCCTAGACAACAGAGGTTCTGTGTTTTCCTGGACCTCCTTCCTCACTGTAGATGCATCTACAGTGTCTGGTGCCAGCGGCCTACCTCAGTGTCCCATAGCGTTTTTGTAGATTTGCTATAAAAACTAATCTTCACTGAAAATGGTATTCATGGAATGTCTGCTGAGCAGGAAGAAGTGTGGGGTTGGAAAACCATCCCAAGAGTATTCAAAAATAGAATCTTAAAAGTTGACGCTTTCTCAAAGCTTCCCTCTGGGGCGAAGATCACTCGAATCATAGCCCTCCGCTCTCTTGTCTGAGGTCAGGGTGGCACAATAGCTGCCTTTCAGGAACAAGCCTGTACCTTCTGGATGCTTCCGCTAAACGGCCTAAGGACGCCTGAGTTCTTCTTCACCTCATCGTAGCTGGGGACTCCACCAATGAAAATATCTGTGGTGCACTTGATCTGGGTGAAGCCGCCCTGCCAAGAGAATACGACAGCAAATCACAATACAATTTAGAATAGATGGCCTAGATTACTGAATATGTCTTTTGTTCTCCACAGAGACACGTAGAGAAGGCTTCAAGACCCAGTATAATGGTTTTCTTGTTCAGTTCTGGGGATGGAACTAAACTAGGAACTAGGCAAGTGTGCTACCACTAAGCTACTTCTCCAGCCCTTGTAAAATTTTTATTTGAGGCAGGATCTTGCTAAAGTGCCCAGGATGGTCTTGAATTTCTACCTGTCTATCTTATCCTCCTCAGTAGCTGGGCTTATCGACTTGCTGGCCTGACTTTTGGGTGCTGGAAAATTGTTAAGCTCTGTGAAACCCAGTTTCATCATCTGTAGAGCAGAAACACCTCCTGGGTGCATCAGGATGAATGGAGGAGACTGCATTACTGGTGGCTGGTGTACACCGCTTGGTCAGAACTACCCTCTCTACAGAAAGACTGTCTCCGGCCAGAGCTCTGGTGGGGCCGTATGATTTGCTTTAGCCTACAAAACATGAGGAGAAGAGAACCACATCCCCTTGGAAAAGCTTCCATAGCCAGAGTATGGTTCGGAGTATGGTTCCTTGTCCTCCCCCTCCTGCCACTTCCTGTATGGGTTTCCAGTGAAAGGAAAGGTGCAGGTAAACACTGGTGTACCTTCAAGGTGAATAAGAACTAAACCCTTCTTGTCAGATGGTGATGTTTAGGTTGTTTGTGATTGAGTACAGCACAACCTACTTATCTTGGCTGCTGAGGTGCCATGTCCATAGCACTTTGCCCCAAGGTGATGTCTAATCAGCATTCCCAGTGTGTGGCTACTGTTACATTCAATCATGGTAAAGATACATCCTGATAGAAAAAGGGAAAAAAGAAAGCCTGGTGCAGGGGGTGGCCCTGTTGATCAAATACAAAAGGCAGAATTCTTCCTTTTCCCCATTCTCGGGGAACTTCCCACTATCAATGCCCCAAAGCTTTCCCTGTTATTGGTGGTTTTAATAGCCTTAAACTCCAGTGTGTAGCTACATAATAAGCTGTGTGGAACAGTTAATGTCTAAGCACATTTCAACATGAGCTATCGGCAAAATGTTACACTCATGAGATAATCAACAGAGATAAATAAAAATTTGAGTTCACTGGCGATAAACACACCTTGGCCATTATTTCCTTTGATTTGTGGTAAAAGAAATGCACACAGGAACATCGTTCAGGCATTCATTAAACAAACATTATCAAGTACCTACTATGTCCCAGACACTGCGCTAAGTGCTGGACAAACAACAGCAAGTGAGAAAGACACAGGGCCCCGCCCCCTTGCAGGGGTCTGTACTGGTGGTGAATACAGACAAGTCCCTGAGCTTGTGAGATCAGCATGTAGGAGTGTGCAGGTTCCCATGAGTCCACACAGGGCACAGGGCTAGCTCTTGCCTTACTCCAGACTTAAGGAGTAGCAGAGGCAGTGAAAGGAGAGGTATAATTTTTGAAACTGGAAGAAATTGGGTTTAGAGGATATGTAAAGTATGGAGAGGTGGCAAAGAGGAGCCAAGTCATGTGATCAAAGTCATGGCTTTAGAAGCCATGACAGGAGCATTAAGCAGGAGAGGGAAGCAGGGATGGAGGGGGAGGGAGAGGGAGAGGGAGAGGGATAGGGACAGGGTCAGGGAGAGGAGAGACACAGATGCCAACAGAGACACAGACAGGGACCCAGATGAGACATACACAGGCAGAGATATCTGTGTTTAGGAAAATTATGGATTAGAGGGGGGGAGAATAGATTTTGACTCATGTCAAGGATGGAAAAGCAGAGACAGAAAGGTCATATAGGATGCTCCATGTATCATGGGAAACACTCATAAGGGCAGGGACCAGCCAGGTGAGCCCAGGGAAATCCTGCTTAGATTAATAGACCAACTCATCCATGGTTAATAAGTTTGAGCATCTTTAAGGGTTCCTATTTACTATGAGAGCATCAAAGAAACAGAAGCACTTTCAAGAATTTTTGTGGCTCAGTAGAATAGGAAGTAATCAGGAGCTGTTACTGCAAACACACTGGCATCCTTCTCTGTCATTTCTCTAACCCAAAATTTAAAATAAGAAGTAGGGGAGGAGAGGCAGAGGCTGCAGGGACAGGTGGCTTCAGAGCAGGAAGGTGTACTGAAAGAACGTTGGGTTTTGGCTATGTCCAGAGAACAGATCAAGGGCCCATTTCTTTTGAGCTGCTCATTTTTTTTTTTAAATGTATTTTCTACAGGGTTTCACTACACAGCTCAGACTCATAGTGATCCTCCTGTTTTCAGCCTCCCCAGCCTTGGGATTATAGGTGTGCACCACCATGCCTGGTCTGGGTGGCCAGCTCAGTGCACCAAGGGGCAGGGTTGGCACAGCATGTGGTGCCTGGGATCAAATCCCAGTCTCTGCACTTGCTTAAGCAGGCGCTTAGTCCACTGAGCTACTTCACTGGCCCTTGGACTTCTCATTAACATCCTCCCTGCCTCCTGTTGAGAAGAGAAGCAGGGCTTCAGTGACCACATCCACATCTGGGGGGACCTCAGGAAACAAGCAAAGACCCACCAGTGTGTGTGTGTGTGGCTTGTCCTAAAGTAAAGCACTTCCTGCATGGAGCTGAACTTCCGCTTGTGGTAGCAGTTTGTAAAGCCAAGAAGTACTACTGGGGTTCTCTGATGTCCCCATAGGCACTGCCCTTCATTGAGATCTGCGTAGTTGAGTCATCCCCAAGCTCCAAATCTGGGTTCAGGCTTACTTGGGCACAGGCTCTCACATGTGTAGTTCCCAGATTAACAACACCCTAAGGTGTGCTCTAACCCCTACCGACTTCTCTCTAGGTGCTAAGGCCACTGCCTTCTGCCTTGGCCATGCTTTGAACACCATGTGGACAGTAGGGAACAGAAAGCCTTTCAGGGAGAGAGGTGACTAGAGTTCATCTCATTGAGGCCAAGCAATGGCTTCCCACTCCTGACTCAACTTTACTCCTCTCAAACACATTCACCACAGCTTCCCCTTCCTGTTTGTTTGCACTGCTTTCCAGGAGGCCAGCTCCATCCACGCACACCCACTTAAAAGACCAAGAGGAGAACACTGACTCTACCATATTGATTTCATGATTGTTGCTTCTATAATAGTAAAAGGAACTCTGTTTTGTGGGTTTTTACCTTTGCGCTGTCTCTAGATCCTAGTGGCAAACACTGTACTGTTTCCTGAATAGTTCTTTGTTTACAATGAAAGACCATAAACTACTATTTACAAATACTGCCACTCTGAGTTTTCATCATTCCTGATTTATGGATGATTTTAAGTAAGACTTCAAGAGACAGAATACTTTTATGAATGGATATAATTAAGCCAACAATTGGCTAGACTATTAGACTATTCTATACTATTAGAATGTTCTGGATTGTACCAGAAATGACCCAAGTGCTCCCTTTAAAATCCAGTTCCCGGGGCGGGGAGACGGCTCAGTAGAATAAGCGCTTCCCTGGCAAGTGCAAGTCTGAGTTCAATCCCCGGTTCCAGAAAAAAAAAAAAAAAAAAAAAAATCCAGTTCCCTTCATCCATCTTCCCTTTCTTGTTCCTCCTTCCCTCCCTCCCTCCCTCCCTCCCTCCCTCCCTCCCTCCCTCTCTCTCGTGTTTCCTTTATTCCATCTCTTCTTCCTTCCACAAATATATACGGATCATTTTATAGGTGTGAAGGGTGCTTATCTCTTAGAGCAGAAGCGGGTTTGGAATTCTTATTCTCAAGAAGGTCCTTGGCGGCCAGGCATGGTGGGGCATGCCTGTAATCCTAGTACTCAGGAGGCTGAGGCAGTAGGATCCCTGGGAGTTTGAGGTGAACCTGGGCTACAAATTGAGTTGAAGGCCAGCCTGAAGTGTATACTGAGGTCCTGTCTCAAAAGGACCAAAAGAAAATAAAAGAAGTTCCTTTTGCCACTTCTGCTGAGGCTGGTTTCTGGACACAGATGTCTTTCTTCCTTCTTCCTCTACCCAACTCCTGCTTTCCCCAGGAATGTTCTCCTTTGTTTTTCTTTTTTTCTATCAATCTACTTGCTCTCCAATATACCCAGACTTGCCAGTGCCCTCTATAAGTTTTGCTTTGCACAGAATGAAGGCTGTTGTGAACCAAGAAATTGGCAGTTCTATTTTCTGGGGGATGTAATTTGTGTGTGTGTCAAATCCCACTAAGCTATAGTTTGAAGCAAATCTTTTATCATCATTTAAAAATAGTGTTTTTCTTTGAACATGACATTGGAAATAAAATCATGGAGGAAAGTTGCAAGTTTCAGGAGGAATTCTGTGCCTTTGAGTAAAAAAAAACCCTATTAATTAGTAATAATAATAATGAATGAAGCTACATACTTCTGACTATGTGTCAGGCCCTGTTGTGATATACATATACTATATATCTTATAATTGTCATAACTCCATGAAGCAAGCACTATGAACATCATTATTTCCATTGATACGAGGACACTAGAGAGGTTTTTAAAAAACCAAAGTACAAATGAGGGCTGTCCAGTCACCGACATGAGCTTTCACCAGTGTAAGCAATGGAGCTAGGCTGTGAACCTTAGGTGCCTGGCTTTGCAATCTGTTCTCATCAGACAAGTCACTTCATGCCACTGGCCCTATATAAGGGTAATTTAATTATGGGTCTAAATTCTTGCCTACCATATTGTACTGCTGATAGGAACAAGGGAGGAGGTTGAGGATAAGGATGGCAGCAGGCAATTCCTTAAGACTATGCATATTAAGTATGAACTCAATCCTTATGACCCTCTGAGATCAGTACAATCACTATAGTTCTCATTTATAATTGTAAAGTAGAAAAGAAATTGCCCTGTTAGGAGCTTGGGTTTCAGTTCTAGCACTGGAATCCACACACTGAAATAGTGGGTGATGCTGCTTTTCAACCAAGATCAGCAGAGACCTGTAACCTGATTCACACTAACCAGCAAAAGAGAAGCTGTGGTCTCCTTACCTCTGCCATTCCCTCTACTACCTTCTGCTTATCCACCTGCAAGATACCATTCTTTGCTGTGCGAGAAACATGCAGCTCATGCCATTGGCCAAGGGTGAGAGGATCTTCACTCCTGTTGAAGAAAGATGTGGTGTTATCTTCCTATGTCCACTTGGCTGGGCTAAAGGGATACCAAGCTAACTGGTAAAACATTTCTGCGTTTGTAGGTGTTTCTAGAAGAGACCAGCATTTGAATTGACAGACTGAATAAAGACAATTACCCTAGCTGATGTGGATGGGCAATGTCCAACCTTTGTGGGCCGAGACAGAAAGTAAAGATGGAAGAAGGATGAGTTTTTTCTTTGCATGAGCTGGGAAATCCCTAGTCTCCTTGCTTTTGATATTGGTTCTTGGACCTTCACACATGGACCAGAACCTACACCATTAGTCTCCTTGTTTTTTGTCACAGAATTCAGACAGGAGCCACACTAAGGGCTCTTTTATGCTCAGGCTTATGGGCTTGGACAGAATGACACCTCTATCTTTTTGTGGTCTTCAGTTTGCAGATAGCAGATTGTGGAATTCCTCAGCCTCTATGATCAGGTGGGACAAATTTACAGGATAAATCTTTCTCTACGCATCTATACATAGTCTTGGTTTGATTTCTTCGGAGAATCTTGACTAATACAGATGATTATGGAGCTTTTCTATCTAGCTATGGTAAAATTGATACTGACTTAGGTATTTCAATTTATGGTAATTTTATTTAGCATAAAGAAAATATTTTCTGCTTAGTATTAGTAGCAGTATTATCTACTATTTATTGAACTTTATGATCAAAGTGTGGCATTTATTATCTTAATAATCCTTACAATAACCCTGAAAATTTGGTACAGTGAATCTGCTTTTCAAGTTAAAGGGTGATTTAAGGGTAAAATTTTATAAACTTTTTGCGAAAACATTGAAGAAGAAAAGAAAATTATATGGGATATGTGATTCCTTAGTATATCAGTTTCCATAACACCCTAAAAATAAAGATGAATAGATATATAATAAAGTAAATGGCAAAAGTTACTGATCCATTACAAGTGATGGGTATAAGAATGTTTGTAATTCTTTCAACTTTTCTATATTTGAATGTTTTTCATAATAAAACACTGGAGGCTATGCTACGGTTTGAATGTGTCTCTCAAAGTTCATGTTTGAAAATTGATCCCAATGCAACATCTTTGAGAGGTAGAAACTTTAAGAAGTGATTAAGTAAAGGAGGGCTCTGTGTTTATGAATGAGTTGTGACATCACCCCTGGAGGGTGTTAGTTATGGTGGGGATGAGTTTCTTACAACATGATAGGTTCAGATCCATTCCTCCCGGACTCTTGCCTCTCTGCCTTCTACCATGGGGATAGTGAAGCATGTGGGCCCATGGCAGTATGCATCCCCCTGACCTTGGACTTCCCAGCCCCCAGAACTGGGAGAAATAAATCTTTGCTCTTTATAAATTGCCCAGTCTCAGGAATTCTGTTAATAGGTGAACAAAATGGACCAAAATAAGAGTAAATAGATACTATGTTCTCCAATCTTACCAAAGAGATTGAATTTACTTTAAAATTTTAGTTATTAAGTCATGGTAGAAACATTTAGAGCTTTAATAATATTTATATAGTTTTTTCATATTACTTTTTATAGTAAGGTGTGCAGAAAGAGTATCCTTATTGTATCTGTACTTCTAGCAGTTTCTAGATCCTGGCTCTCACTGAAGCTCCCAATTATATTTTTGGTCATGGATCATTTTAGAAAATGATGAGGAATACCAATGGGCACAATTATTGAAGGGTCACCACCCCTTCATTTGATTCTTTTGCTCAGGCAAATGCTTTTGTGGCTTGTCCTTAGCAATTAGAATTTAATCACCCTGGCTAAATCAATATGCAATAAAGAAATAAGTGCCCTTTTAAAGTGGTCTATTCCCATAATAACTAACAGTGCCCTTGTCATGTTCTTGTCCTGCAGGGGTCACTGGCTGTCAATATGCTGCCTTCCTCTGCACCACTAGATTGATCACAGCTGACGAGAGCTCACTGTAGCTGTCTTGATTTTTGAATCAGGTCCATAATGATTTTGATCACTTTATCCTTTTTCTGATGTTAAAATGATTTGGCCAATTCTACAACACCCTGCAGTTCAGGCTTTCATTGAATTCTCTTTAGTAAGTAGGAAGATTTTGAAATGATTTTCAAAATAAGCAGCTTCTAAAGAGCCATCTAGAATGCCAATAGCGATCCATATTGTCAGGGTACACGGAGAAGGGCAGGACAAGGAGGAAGATGGTGGTTTGTCCATTAGAAACTCTTGCCTTGTTTTCATCACCTAATATGAATTATTTTTCTACTTATTTTTATTTGTTTGTTTGTTTATTTATTTATTGGGCACACAGCTCAGCCTCAACTTGGACTCAGCTCAGACTCGCAGTGGTCCTCTTGTTTTCAGCCTCCCCAGTGCTGGGATTATGGGAATGGGCCACCACACCTGGACCCTGCGGCTGGCTCAGTGAGCCTGGGAGTGGGGCTGGTTTGGTATGATGTACCAGGGATTGAATCCTAGTCCTTGTGCTTGCCTAAGCAGGTGCTTAGTTCACTGAGATACCTCGCGGGGCCTAGGAATTATTTTTCCAGTAGTGCTTCCTGACAAGTAGGAAAATAGTGATTTGCATTTTTAAGAATTAAGTGCATTTCATATTTAAAATGGGCATAAGTTTTGGAAAAAGAGAAACATTGAGCTTGCAAGGGTTTACGTGCCTGTGACTGCACAGCTGAAGGTCTACAGAGGTGGGGAGGAGGACAGTCTGTCCAGGAGGCAAGGTGATGAGCCGTTGGCCTCTTTCAGCTCTTTTTGGTCACTTCTTATCATGAAGAGGCTGTTTAAAGTGTAAGGTGCTAGCTAAGGTGGCTTCCTTTCTAAGCCTGACATATAGTTCTGTGCTTTACTTTTATTTTGGTACATGCAGTTGAACTCAGGACCTTACGTTTGCCAGGCAGGCGCTGTGCCGCTGAGCGATATCCCCAGCCCGGCATATAATTCTGAATGAATTGCTGAGGCTAGTGTGCAAAGCCATATGTAAATTGAGTCAGCTAAATATCCACCAAACTTTTCCTGAGATATAAAATGCTTTGCATAATCAGAGATACAAAAATATTTGTCTGTTCCCCAAGGTAGGAGGTGCCACTGATGTGTAGGAATGCAACTGCAAGGACAAACACAACTCATCCTTTTAGAGAATTGTTAGAACTTAATGCAGAGCGCATCCCATCAACTGTGAAAAATGATCAGCACTTAGAAGCCACGCACAGTGGTAACATCTCACACACACTCCTAGAAATGACAGGCTAGCAGTACGGATAGCGATTGAATACAGCCTGCAATTTCCTTTAAAACAACAACAGGCTAACTGATAGTCTAGCGCAGCGCACCATTAAGCAAAACATCTTAGTGAGTTTCAAAAGAGAAGAATTAGACAAATGTAGCAGCAAGAAGAATGTCTGCATTAGACAAGCAGCCCTTGAGCTGGAAGGTTAAAGCTAGCATGAAAGGAACACAATAAAAAGGAGACATAAGCAAATAAGAAACATGTCTGCACTACCAACTGCAGGCTCTAAGGGACTGAAAAAGATACTGACTCACTCTATGGGAACCATCAATCTGCTAAGTAGTTTAACAGTCCAGACTAGACAAGAGGAGTGAAGTTTGGTTACTGAGATCAGTTTTGCAAGCATCAGCAAATCCTTTGGAGGCCCCCATGTACGGCCCGGCTACTAACACCACTCAGCACCCATCCTTCCTGGATGCTCTGGTCAGCCAAAGAATCTGTGCTTGTTGATGACTCAAGATACTCAAGAACAGTAAGAGGCTTGTGAAATTACTAGTCACCATCCATGAAGCAGTTTAAGAGGCAAGTAAAAACTAAAAGCAAAGTCATCAAGGACATTTCTATTTATTAAAAATTTGTTAAAACCGTTTACTTGTCGACGTATTTGTGGGGGTACCAACCATATGACACTGTGTAAGGTGCTGATTAATTACAACTCATCGAAAGTCTGCCTGCTGTTGGCACTGCATACCTCGGGAGGAAAGGAACTGGAAGCAAGCTCACTTTCCAGAGTTTGAAGCACAGGCTTCTACCTCCTGGGTAGTTATTTTGGAAAAGGAAATCTCTCCAGCAGGAGACTGGTGGGAAGCCTGTCACCTTTAGGAAGCAGAGGAGATGTCACAAAGATAATAATGGTGCAGGGAAGGTAAGAAGAGTGTAAGATGGTAGATGGTAATTTGCTTTTTTCTTCACAGGAGTTACTATCTGGGTTAAGGGGACAAGAGACTGTAGAAGGTCCAAGATCTCACCTCAGGATTCCAGTTCCAGAGCCGCAGTCAAAGCGGAACTCCACATGGCCCCCTGCCATGTTGACAGACAGGAAGTCTTTGCTGCTGGTGTCATAGCTGTATAGGAGGACACCGTCCCCTGAGTCTGGCCGAAATGTGATCTCAAACTCAGTGAAGGACAGGTAGTGCCGTGGCTCCAGGGGCCAGGGCACGGCGGCATAGGACCTCAGGGACTCTCTGAACTGAGGAATGGTCAAGGCGAAAGCTGAAGAAACAAGCAAGGCATTAGAAATCCCTGTGTGCTGAGACTGGTCAGCTGTGCCCCAGGTGTGCCGCACCCCTAGCCAGCTGCCCTGAAGCCAAGAGGGTGATGTGATGGAATTCTGGGCTGTAAAACGTGGGTGACAATCATATGGCACCCCAGGGCTGGCCTCTAGAACATCCCTCTATCCTTCCCCTCTCTCTCCTCTCACATGCAGGCTGGCTGCAGGATCCAACGCAGGACTTTAAGGCCCTAGAGGAATCATGAGGTGGCAGGGGCCGTTATCCCTGATGACTGTTCTTGGCTGTCCAGGTTGCTAGGTCACTGGATGGAGCAGAAACCTGTCTCACCAACACCCCCACTGACTCCCAGTTATTTATATGAGCAACCATCAGCCACTATTGCATTATAAGGCTACTGAGACAGAAGATGGCATGTAAGGGCAAAGGCCCACCCTGACATGAGATTTGAATTGACGATGTTAAAAAATGTTCCCAGTATGGTATTTCTAGAGGAATGTGATTATCATTGTGATCTTAGCCCATTTTGTCTTGTTTTAAATTTTCAAATTCTGGAAAAATTAAAGGTATATTCAAGCTTGTGTTGTTTTCCAAAATCTTTTAAATTTTCAATTATTTGCATGTGTTAGTATGCAAACACATATGTGTGAGTACGTTATGTGTACATATACCTATATGTGTACACATGCATTAGGCCTCTGTAATATGTATACAATCTCAAAGGATGGAATAATTTAGCAAAACAATTCCAAGAAGGAAAAATGAGCACTTTTTCCATCACATTGGGAATTTCTGTCTTCACCTTCCCTGTCTTTTCTCTCAAAGTGCCACATACTACAAAGAGCACAAGCTTTTAATGCTTTAAATTCAGTTGGGTACAAACCACACAAATATAGGTTTTCTAGAAGTTATTTGAGGCCCAAAAGGAGTCCACCCCGGCTCAGCATCTTAAAAGGAAAATAGTTTTCATTCACTCGAAACTTTGGCACGGTGAGACTTTCCTATTCCTGCCAAAAGAGCAACCTTGATCCCATGGAAAGTTACAAGATTTTGCCTAACGTGCATTGAGGAAAAGTTGTAACCCTGTGACCTAACACGCAGGTAAGAAACGCCGTCTGCTTGCTTATTTCTCACCGTCTTCACAGTGTCGACCTCTGAACCCAAGTGGACAGAGGCAGATGTAGGAGTCAGCTTTGACTGCGGTGCAGGTCCCTCCATTGACGCACGAGGCCTCATCACAGATCCCGCTGCTGCACTCCCCTGGACACAGAACAGGAATGACAAAGACAGTGTATGGTGTGTCCTTCCGGCCATGCCAGCAGCTCACAGTTCTGAGCAGTTTGGTCCCTGCCGCTGCTGCTCGGCACCTCTGTGCAGAGCCTGCCCTTCATTTTAATTTGCTTTTGTCCTGTCCTTTAGGAAGAGTCACAGAAACTGTCCCAAACATCAGGAACACAGTAAGTCAAGAAAACAAACAGTGGACAAGTTTATGACCATGAGAGGGAGGACTGAAGGGTCCCTGCTTGAACCCATCTCTCAGTGGCTGCCGCAAGAGTGAACTTCAATCCCCCCAAATGCGACAGTGTTTATGCTAAAAGTGTTCTAATTTTTGTGACCTCAATTAGTGGAAGTGCTGCTGCCACGTTAGTTGAGAGCTGAGCTGAGCAAGAAGAGAGCTGCAGGGGCTCAGCATCCACACCGAAGCTCACCTCACCCCGTGGTGTGGTCTTCTGTCACGGGGAGAGAGGGGGTTGTACACTACCTCAGCATATGAGTTTTAGAACTCCTATTTCTACTTCTGAAACAGCTGCCTTAGTAGGGACAAGCCCATGGCGGAAAGTTCTATTGGTTTAGTATTACTTGGGTCCCTTTCCTTTGCCAAGTGTATTAGGAAATTCCACAAGGGCAAATGAGCCTTGGCACTTTCAGGGTTAGCAGGTGAAGGGCAAACAAATGAGTTTTTCATGGGGCTGCTTTTCTTCAGTGTCTCTGATCTTCCTTTTCTCTTTATGTGTAAGAAATAAGTGAAACCGACGGCTCACAATTTGGCCCAGAAATACCCAAGCTGTATATAACAGGCTTCATGCGGTTGGGGGCAAAGGGCTGTGTCCTGATTGGGCTATGAAAGGAGGAGTCTGGCCGTGCGGCTGCCCCAGCAGGCTCCAAGGTGGCACCTGCATGAGCAGGTATCATTCACCTACCTGGTCTGGTTGTGCCATCTTAGTGGGTTGAGTATTTTCTCCTTTCTTGACCAGTTGCCTGGGCTGGTCTAATTCCTTACCCCTCACATAGACCCAGCAGGAGAGGTGGGTGGCTGAGCCCCCTCTGCATGTAAGAGCTGGAACTGGCCTAGGGGGTGCTCATAGATTCCATGAAAGCATTTCTACAGTGTGTTACCTGGGCCAGAGAGGGCTGGTTTTGGTGATGTCAGCTGGCAGTCACTGGAAGGCCACATTGAAGGAGCTGTGGTCTCCATCCAGTCACACATGAGTGTCCTTGCCCTTCCTCCTGTCAGCTAGCTCCTGCACCTGCTCCCTCAGAAGGGTTTTCCCTAGCCCGAGACCATGCCAGCTCACCAGTAGACATTTTTATTGCCTCAGCACTTCTCCTATGCTACAAGCAACCCCACTTGTCATTTACACTTACTAGGGTCATTACCTGGTTTACCTGGTCTCTCCCCACGGCAGGCACCCAGAGGCCAACATCTGATTGGCTCATTACTTTATCTCCAGATCCTCACAGTACGACTAGCTTTAAGCAGGCGCTTGAAGAGTCGGTACGACATAGTGAGACCTGTAGCCAGGACTGCTGTGGACTGAACCATAATCCCTCAAACACACAGGTTGAAGCCTTACCCTACCCCATATTCATGTTTGGAAACAAGGTCTTTAAGGGGGAAATTAATGTTTTATGAGAGCATAAGAGTGAGGCTCTAATGCAGTCTGACTGATGTATTTAGAAGAAGAGGAAACTTGGACAGACAGACACACAGGAGAAAGGCCACGTGAAGACTGGGGGAGGGCAGTGGGGGAAGAGGACCACCCACCTGCAGGATAAGGCAAGGTCCTCAGGAAAACCTAGCTCTGCCTGCACCTCTAGGCTCCAGAACCGTGATTAACTCAATGTTGGATGCTGAAGCCATGCAGTTGGTGGTGTTTTGTTACAACATCTTTGGTAAACTAATAGAGTCACTGAATTAACCATCTCAGGCACTGTCTACTGCAGCCTTCTGGGAACTGCATCAATGTTCTTATTACTTTCAAAACAACTCAGGGCAGACAAAGCGTTTGCCATAGTGGTCAAGAACTGGAATTTGACCTTTTCTTCTCAGAGGGCATAGGAAAGCTGTTCTTACACTTTAAAATTATTATTATTTTTTTGTTCTTACATTTTTGTCTTGAGTGGAAAGTGGGATGACAGGGCTGAACTGTGCATCATTGTTAGTGAGCTCAGACTACATTTTAAGAAGAGGCCAAGATGGTGGCAGGACACAACCATGGGTTTGGTGCAATACGTTGCTACCAACTCTTGGTGTTTGGACTTGGGATCCACAGGTCTACAGAGCACAGCATGGAACTACTTGCCCCCTACATTCACCAGCTCCCCAGGACTGCAGATGTCTGCTCACACGCTGGCCACAGCAGTCCACATGGCCCTCCCACATCCTGGGTGGTCACTTACCCACATCAGCCCCACTGAGAGCTTTGCCTAGTGGCCAGGGCCTCATGTCAATCCTCTTCCCATTAACAGCAAGTGACTGCACACAGCCATGGAAGTTTCTGTTAGTCCCTGTGGCTCTGACCAGCCAGTAAGTGCTGGGAGCACCACCAAGATAGAGAGGAGTCCGGAAGGTGATTTTGCTGTACTGGCCCTTTAAGAGAGAAGAAAACTTGATCTTACTAAACAAATTGAACAGCCAAAACAGGACAGATTTTGTTGGAGGAAGTGGTTAAGGTGTAGGTTACAGGGCAATGTTTTCCTTTGTTCCTACTTGTCTTTAACTAAGATGCAGTCCTGCTGGAAATGGAAACTCCTGGGTTTCCTAGGAAACTCATCAAGCTTCCCTGGGCTGTGTTTCTGGCAGAGGTAATTCTAGAAGGCCTGGAGAGGAAGGGAAAGAGGTCAGAGCTCTGACCAACTAATAGGATGCCTGGCATCCAGAAATAACTATTCTCTTTCCAGTCTTGATACCAATCTATTGGGTACCTTAGGCAGGTCACAGAGCCGAGCTGTGTTCCCCAAAGGTGGCAATATTCATTTTGTGTATTTGTAGACTGACGTCTATCCTTTTTCTTTCTGTCACCTTTATTTTATATGCGTCAAGAAACACACTGCGGGGAAAATTGCCAAACAGTGTGTTGCAAAATACTTAGCAATTATTTATGGCTACAACTTTTTTTTTTTTTTTAAAGTGTTATTACAGGAAGGTAGGGAAATTTCTAATCTTAGATGAAACCACAGTCTGGATTGCAGGTTTGGAGGTTTCAGAACACAGGGCTGAATGTTAGAGAAAAAAATTAAGGCACATTGGTCATGCTTTTTCTAATTTATTTGGATTTAAGAATCAAAAACAGAAGCTGGGAAAAGGCACACTGCTAGTCATCAGAAAATGCCCAAGATGGAAGCTTCGGACATGTAATCTGTACCTTATCAACATGTGACACCAGCAATTAGAAATCTAAATATTGCTTTATCTTTTCTGATGAACAGATAAGAATCGTTTGTGAAGGGTAAACTAAATCATAGAGTACTGCTGTGGGCTGCAGGGTTAATGAAAGCTGCTTGGCCACTGAACCTAGGAAAATTCAGTGAGTTTACCATTAGATGAATTAAATACTCTCATAGCTTGTTTCATCAACATCCTCAGCATTTTCTTCTAGGCCTCATCCTCCCCCTGCTGGTCTTGTTCCCTGTTCCAGGACCACAGCAGGAGGCCTGGAAGCTCCATGGCTTTCCAGAGCAGTAAGTGTGTGCAAGGGGCAGGTGGCTCCCAGCGGAACCCTTCACAACAGCATCCCAGGCAAGAATTCAAGGCCGGCTTTTACCTCCCCATAATGAGGTCAACCTTCATGTCCCCAGAGCCTGCTGTGCCTGCCTATGCAGAGAAATGAAAATGTCCTGGGGTGTGCCTTCCCCCAGGATAGACCACAAGAGTTTGGGATAACTCTCAGGTATGATTTATAGCCGGAGTGCTCTTGTGAGACCAGGTGAAAGCCACGCTGTGAAGACGAGCACCTGAGATCACACCCTCACTGCCTTTCTCCTCTTCCCTGTCTAGCTTCTCTCCTTTGCCAGTCTCCCTAGAAAGCAGCTTATTAATATATCCCTTACCCAGGAGTCCCTCATCTCAGGTCTGTTTCTAAGGCACCAACCTTAAAATAGAATTACTGTCTCCCAAGACAGTCTATTAAACATTCCCCATCTGTGGTCCTGCTTCTGACTCACTCAGCAAGTCCCAGTAGTACAATGGCAAACTTTGCCCTGGGCATCCATAAAATTGCATGCTCTATGCAATTAATTCTTGTATTTATTAATGTCATAGAGTCTTGGGATTGGAAGTAACATGAAAACTCACATAATCCAAGCTTGCTCTGGCTATGGGATTCCTTGGTCATCCCTACCCAAGGTGTAGATGAGCTACTTTCTGAACACTCCCAAGGAAAGGGCAGCATCTCCTGGCATTCAGTCACATCTCTGTGCATCTGGTATGAGGAGGTAAAGCTCACAAGGATCTCCTCAAAGTGCTTCCCATTTGGCTTCAGGCTTTGGGGCTACTGAGTACATCCTTCCGCCTCAGGACTTCTCTTTTGACTCTACCAAGAAAAGCCAACTCCCACGCTCCCCATTCTCCTTCTCCTGGTGGAACAATGTTTCTTTTGTCAGTTATTGACAAGATTTCAGATCATCTTCCTGTCTGGGTGACTGCACCTTGAACGTGCTTCACTTTACCTACCACCTCTTACGTCATCACAGAGATGAATTTAATCTTCTTCTGAGTTTAGAGCCACAGTGAGGGCCCCTGGTGGCGCCCACATAATCACCAGACTAGAAGACTGTAGCCTCCCCTTTTCCAGATGTGATGCCTCTATTCAAGCAGCCTTTCTTTTCTTTAACTTATTTTTTATTAACACGTATTCCTGCATGTTCATCATTCTTATAGCATCCTTGCTTTAAACCATAGGACATTTCCACATGTGCTGTTTTTATTATAGCTTTTCTGGCCTGTCTTCATGTTAGTATTTTGGACCTGATTTCGAAGCCCCTTTGTTCCTACAAAATTTCACTGTGTTATGTTAGACTTAGTCCCCTATCATTTGGGTAACCCTGTGCTTCATACATGGCTATTGCTCCTTACCAACAGAGGCACAAGCAAGTGCCTCAGACTCTCATTCCTGGGTCATGAACTCCTAGTCCTCTGGAAACACTGGAGTCCAACTAATGAGATTTCTTCCCTTTTCTCTTTTTGATCATCAATTCATGGTCCTCTGTATAACATATCCGGCCAGCAAAGAGCACTGAAGAGCTGGGGCAGAGAGGAAGGCTTGATATGGATACACAACGGCTTTCCTGCTCCACTTTCCCTGTGAGAATAGCTACCTGCCTGATTATAATTACAGGCTCAGTTCCTTGGCAGGCTGCTAATCCAAACTGCTTACGCTAAACGCTGTTCTAAAATTGTGCAGAGCATAACAAATCTGGGAATAGCTAGGCAATTTGCTGAGTAATTGAACAGTTGGACTATTTTTTAAACAGGTAAATGGTGAAACAACTCCTACAGTGATCCTCCTGCAGTCCCCACAAATGTAGATGAGCAGATTGAACCAAATGAGTCTTTCAGGAATATTTCCTAAAGCCACGGGGTGATGACACTCCTGCCTTAAAATTAAACTCTGTGCTTGACACAAATGATGGCCTCTGGGTCAGGGAGATAGCTCAGTGGCGTAAGCGCCTGCTCGGCAAGCGCAAGGTCCTGAGTTTGAGGCCTGGTACTGAAAAACAACAGCAACAAAAAAGATGTGTTCTTTTCTTCCAGCATGAGTCTTCCTTGACTCCTGGCTTTGATGTCCTTGTGGAGAGAGAACACGTCCCTGGGCACAAACTGGTACCTGCGCACCCAACAGCAATGGTACTCATGAGTTCAATGAACGTCTGTGTGGAGGGGCAGGATGGGTCAGGACCCAGCAGAACTCAGCTGTGCGGGCTATGAACCCTGGGCCGCCTAAAGCCCAGCCTGAATGGACATCCCGCCCATGCACCTCTGCTCTCGGCAGGGAGCCCCTCCTGGGATGCTGGTGGTGGCGGTAGGGAGGGCAAGCAGAACTGCCTCTTTCACTCACCTGGGACTGGCCCGTCACTGGGGTGTCGTCGTTGAGCTGCAGCAGCCCAGTCACCCCGTCTCTATAGAGCATGACTGTGTGCCATGCCCCCAGCTTGATTTTCGTCCCGCTGAGGATGATGGCAACCCCAGTTCCACAATTAAACCTGTGGGGAGGAGAGGGGAAAGGAGATTCTAGCGTCAGACCACTTCATGTATTTCCAGGCTCCAGGACTGCACTTCTAGGATAAAGGCTCCTTTCCGAGTCAATCTGGTTGTGTTTATGAACATCAACAGCTGTTTGGATGTTTACTCCAAGAGTCACACACTTCTTCTCTGTGTCGTCCTCCATCTGTTTATTCTTCCATGCATGGAAATTTTCGGAGGAGCCTTCTCGGCTCCAGTGGCCCTGCAGGGCAGATGCTCATGCGCACATAAGATCCTCTGTCTCTTTTCTTTCTTTTCTTTTTTTTTGGCGGAACCGGGGATTGAACTCAGGCCCTTGCACTTGCCAGGCAAGCGCTTATTACTGAGCCATCTCCCCGCACCCCTCTGTCTCTTTTCCAGAGATCAACAGAGACTTAAAGCAGATTCGGGGTGCCAACATTAGAACCTGTGTCACCCTACTTCCCAGTATCTCTTTGGGAACTGGTTTCCAAAGTGTGCATGGAAAGAAAGGCTCAAGGCAGAAAAGACAAGCCAGACAGTTCACCACAGAGCTCAGGGAAGGGAGGCACAGAGTTTGTGCCTTGCTGCCGGCTCCTTTCCACCCTCCATGATGGTCAGCCATATTTGACACAAGGAGACTAGTGACAAAATTCTGCAACTCAAGCCTCAAAGTTCATCTACCATCCTGACACTCCAGTGTTCAAGAAACTATTCCCTGCTCATCTTCTCTGCACCGTCCCTTTACCTACTAGAATCCACCCTACACAGATCGCACTCATGCTATGAAAATGGAAGCACAATGCAGGGCAGAATTTGAAAAGTCTGGTGGGGGCGCTGGGGAGATGGCTCAGTGGAATAAGCGCTTCCCTGGCAAGCGCAAGGACCTGAGTTCAATCCCTGGTTCCGCCAAAATAAATAAATAAATAAATAAATAAATAAATAAATAAATAAATGACTAGGGGCTTCAGGCAGGTGGTACCTGAACTGCAGTGAGCGCCGTATGACAGCCAAGGACATGAAGTCACCCCGGCCATGCTCGTTCTCCCCACAGTAGAGCAGCAAGCCGTCCTCTGCCTCTGCCTGTTGTCACACAAACAAAAGCCACATGAACAATGACCGCCTCCTCTTCCGCAAAGCACCATCTGGAGACACTCATGAATACGCAACGTGAGTGCTCTCCTCTGTGGCTCTATGTACAATGCAGCAAGCACAGATTAATGAATTCCCGGGTACCATTCATTTCCATTAAGCAAATGGCAGTGAGACAATCAGTGTGTGAGGAATGGGGGAGCAGGGAGAGGAAGGGGGAGAAAAAAAGGGGAGAGCCCATGACCTGCTCTTTACTCAGCTTTGTGGCTCCACCTGTGGGGCTTCCCGGAAGCCATATGTGCAGGGCCACAGCCACAAAGAGCATTGCTTGTGCTCCTCAACCTTTATGCCTTTATGCTCAACAAAAAGCACTGTCACTTTTCCTTTTTTTTTTTTTTTTTTGACTATTCTTCCTTCACTCTGAGGAGGAAGCAAACTTGTGTCTTTCCTTTCATCAGGAGAGCAAGGTGGTACAAACAACTTAGAGGAGGGATGCGGCTGTCTGAAAAGAGGACAGCTCACCTCCCGGACACTTAGCACCATGGCCCTGACCTGAAGGGAGCCATGTTTCCAGACTGCCAAATCTTTTTGCTTCTTTAAAGATGCTCATTAAACTGAAGTCACTGACTGCAATTCTGATCTGCCAATGGTTCAGGCTGGGGCACCTTTCCTCGGTCCTCATGACAAGCGGTGGGTGGGAGAAGTAGTTTCTGTTTGTTCAGTTATGGCTATTGCAACCAAGATGGACATTGGAGCTCCCTTTGAAAGGCATTTGGGATAGAACATTCATTATTGCTTCTGCAGTCCTGGTCTGGGAGGAGCTTTATTATGGACAATACTGCTGAGACTCCAATATTTTGCTAGAGAATCTTTGGGCCAGTCTCTTCTATCATTTAGAAAGATACCAAACCCACTGTTCCTTTGCTGGGCAACTTGAATATGAACAAGCCCAGTGTTTTTGCTGCCTCCTGTGCACTGGTTTCAGGATGGGCTCCACACATTAATCTTCAATCACTCCCTCTGCTCTGTCTCCGTCTGCCGTTTCCTTTTAAGTGAGTTAAATGTCCATCCAACAAGGACTCAACAAATGACCAATGCCTCTTACCCTAAATTCCAGAGTAATTTGAAATGACTGATAAGAGTTCTTCAGAGGCTCAAAAGTGATGTAGGAGTGGCCAAAGAACTGAGGATATTGTATAGCAATGTCTGAAAAGAAAAAAGACAACATGAAGGCTGCTTCTTCATCTCGGCAGAAGCAAAAATTCAACACATAGCCTTGTCTGGACATTGTCACGTAAAAACCTTTGCTAATCTGTTAAACTTTGATATCTTTTTTTTGGTTTTTTTCCTTTGGCAGCTCAGCTCAAGGCATTGAAGCCAGGGCATCCTCACTGTGCTACATCCACAACTCTGTATGAATATTTTTATTTTGAGACAAGTGTCACTAAGTTACACAGATTGCTCTTACAGTCCTCCTGGCTTGGCTCTCCAGGGCGCTGGGCTTACAGGTGTGCACCAACACACCTGGCTCCCGTCTCTACATTTTATACCTACTATTCTCACTTCTGGGGACTTTGAGCTTCTGAGATCCTTACGAAAAAAACTAGATTTTGGGAGATTACTTCATGCTTCCCAAAAAAGAGGTCAATGACTTTAAGACCATGGCCATTCATTTTCTAGTTGTGCATTTGTGTATGTTACACCTTGGCAAAATTATCAGGCAAATGTTGCAGCTACACCTTTTGATAGTACTGTGACAGTAGTGGTACTGACATCTCTAAGGGTCAAGACCATTCAATGAATGTTGCTCCAAAGGACCTTTGACATTTGACACACATAGAAGTAAGGCTGTTACCTAATTTACAAGGAATGGAATTTGCTTCACACGTGGCCTCATGCAGCCACCATAGTGATGGATAGATGGGTGAAAGGGTTGCCTTACAAAAGGGACAAGAAGGAACTACATTTGGAGCACAGAGCTGTCCTCTGGCTCTCCAGGGCTCACCTAGTACCCCACTTTTCCCTCTCCAAAGGACCCACCTTCTGAGCAGCTCTCACCACCTTTGCCCAGGTTACAGTGGCATCGTGAGCCCCCCAGAGTGTAGTCATTGACACAAAAGCTGTCAGCAGAGCACAGCGTCTCATTACAAGTCATGGCAAAGAGCCTCGACATCATGGCTAAGCCACTCGGCCCCTTCCGCTGCGCTGGAGTTGGGTGGAGAGCAGCTGTGGTCCTAGACAGCGGTGCCTTGGTAGGGGGCCCAGGCCTGGAGGCAGCCTTGAGGTTAGACAAAGATGCCGTCCTGTTTTCCACTAAGAATGTTTTGTGCCCTTCTTTGGTAGCAGGAAGGGGGTGACCCTGCAGTCAGAGAAGGAAAAGGATTCAGCAGAGCATGGTAACTGGACCACCACATTTGTTGCCTATTACTTGAAAATATGGTTGCTGTTTATACTTTCAAAAAACCTGGGATGAAAAAGGGGCAGAAACACCAATCCTGATTTATGAATGAAGAACTTGAAACTCGTGGATTTTTAGGAATTTCCTTGAATTACTCAAAATCATGGGTAAAAGCTGACATTACATGGCTTATTCTTACTACATTCTTAGAAGGAGGCAGTGCTTTATCAAGGAATGATTTATTTCTTAAAGAAATAAATAAATAAAGTATTTTAAAATACTTATTTTATAAAATTTCACCTTTTTTTTTTTTTACATTTGGTACAGGGTCTCACTATGGAGATTGGACTCTTAGTGATTCTCCTGTTCTCATCCTCCCAAGCACTGGGATTACAGGCGTGCACCACCACACCCAGTCTTAATCGCCATCTCAGTGCACCCCAGCGACTGGGCTGGCATGGCATGCCATAAAATTCCATCTTGTAGAAATCTAAATATGCCTTTTCCAGCTTATGAAGTCAGCAGGCAGTGGCTGGCTGTAAAACATCAGTATGGCTGGGACTTTACATCTACTAATTTATGATCCCCTCGAGGCTCATGTCAGGGAAAACATGCATCCAAAATGTACTAATAAAAATGAAAACTGGGGAATAAAAGTAAATGGAACAATCTAAGTTTTAAGTAAAATGTTCATGGTCCCCTGGCTGAATTGCTTCACTCATGATGAACACAAGCCTCAGGGACTTAAGGGCGGAGATTGTTACCTCCTCAAAGGAAGCGTTCAGATTGAGGTTGTCTTTGAGTCCTTTGTCATTCACAGTGATTCCCATGTTGGTGATGTAATGTCCATATTGGTCATGTCTTGCTTCCCTGGACCCTTCACAAAGAAAAGAAGCACATCTATCACTTTGCATCTTCATTCCACTCTTTTTTCAAAAATTGGTACATGGGGGCTGGGGGTGGAGGTAGTGGAATTTGAAATAAATCTTGGCTCAAATGTGTGATGCTCCTGCCTCAGCCTCCCAAGTGCTGAGATTACAGGCGTGCACCACCACGCCTGACCCTACAGACCTCTGGAACATGGGTAACTACAGGAATATGCAGGAAAAGTTCATAGTATCAGAATTTAGAATGGCAAAAAATAGTCCAAATCTGTGACTTATAAGAACAAATCTTATAGAACACCCTATATGTCTTTCAATGGAGAAGAGACAAATGTATTGTGTACATCTTTGGAACAGAGTACCACATAGCAAAGGAAATGAGTAAGGAGCCTTTGCTACACCAACTGGGCTTATTCTCACTCAATTTCATGCAAAACTGCAAATCACAAAAGAACATATCTAGTTTGATGCTATTTTAAGGCAAATAGCATTTACATTTTCATATATATACATATATATATATGTATTCATACATATGCAATTTAAACTCTCTTGAATATGATAATTACAAAAATGTCCAGTAGTGGTTAGAGGAGGAATATGAATTAGAGATCATAGGTCAGGGCCTCAGAAAGTTCTTTATGATATTCTATTTCTTTATGATATTCTATTTCTTAAGATAGATGCTGGATGATGTAGACAAATAGATTATATATATATATATATATATATATATACATATATACTTTTGATGTATAGATTATGTAATTAAAACTTCAATAGTGAAAAGAGAGTATAATAAACATTCCTACATTCAGAAAAATAAGAGGTCCTATTTGTCTTCTTGGGATCAACAATTCCCATGTGTTCTTTTAAAACCAGAAGTGGAAGGGGACAGAATAAGCCATAGTCCCTTGAAAGATAAGCAATGAGCATTTTCTTCTGGTGTCATGAACTTTATTGATGCACAGCAGCTCTACCTAGGCTGCAATGGGTAACACCCCATGAGTCATGGTGGCCTTCGTGATTCTGTTCAAGGTGGGCTTGGGCTTGGGCAGGCACAGGGGTAACCTTAGCTGTGACACGCCATTACTGTGTCAGGGCACTACCAGCTGTGTGCAGGAGACTGGCTTTGGCAGCTTGTTGCTGTCCGTTAGTTACTAGACATTCAAAGCTTGGGTGACTTGTGAAACAGAGAAGGAAAGCTGATGTTAAAAAATAATTAAACCTTGTAAAGACATCGTAGGATAAGCTAACCCAAAACACCATTCTCAAAAATACCAGACTTCTCTCCTTGTCTTGATCTGTTGAGGATGCTACAAGAAAAAAATGTCACACACTGTGTGGCTTAGAAAAAACAAACATTTCTCTCCTAAAATTGTTGAGGCCAGAATGTCCAAACTAGACGTTATCAGTTCAGTGTCTAATGAGGGCTCACTTCTCCCATAGAGTGCCTTGTATCTGTCCTCACATGGCGGAAGAAGCAAACAAGCTTCTCTGGGCCTGGCATCTGAGGGCGCTAATTCCACTCACGAGGGCCTCGATCTTCTCTCTCGACCACGTCGGAGAGGCTGCACCTCTCACCGTTCCATTAGGGTCACACATTTGGGGCAGGTTCAGACTACAGCACTCCACTCAGAAAAATGGATAGCAGACTGAAAATGGAGCTGAAGGAGAAAATAGAAATGATTTTCCACTGGGCATAGCCAAAGCACCATTCTCAAAAATACCAGACATCTACCCTGGGTCAGACACAGAAACAGTGTCAGAAGATGCTATAGAGACTGGTGGAATAAGCTATTCCCAGGTGTCTGGGCACGTGTTGGTGGAGGGGAGATATTCTCACCTTTCTATAGGAACTTCCCACAGCTGTATTTAAAATAGGCCACCTGGCAGCTACATATTCAAGCTTTATGATGCCAGAGCCATACGTGGATGCACATTCTCTCACGCCACTTGCATACAGCACAGCTGAGAGCCAGGTGTCATCACTCAAAAAGTAAAAGCAAGAAAGCCCTTGGAGACAGCTCTTCCATCTTGCCTCATCTCTGCACTTTTTTTTTTTTTTTTTTTTTTTCAGAATTGGGGATTGAACTCAGGCCTTGCACTTGCCAGGGAAGCACTTATTCTACTGAGCCATCTCCCTGGCCCTCTTTGCATTTTCTTATCACCCTCCTTACTTCTTTTTTCCTGAGCCTCTTTTTTTTCATTACATCCTCATCCTCTCTCTCTCTCTCTCTCTCTCTCTCTCTCTCTCTCTCTCTCTCTCTGTCTCTCTCTCTCTGTCTGTCTGTCTCTCTCTTTTTCTCTCTCTCTCTCTATCTCTCTATCTCTCTTTCTCATTTCAGAAGAAACAAAGAAAAAATAAATTTGGTAGTAAAAGAAGCATGCAGTATGTACCTAATAAAACTGGGCTTTGCCTTTAGCAGGATGGCCTCTACCTCAAGGTGCTATTCTGTGCACAGAGCTGATATTCTTGTACACATTCTCATCAATGTCAAGATTCTTTTGCTCTTCATCTTAAGGTAAACGGTCCAGCAAACAACACCTCCAACGTCTCCCTACTCCCTATGAAAGAAACTCTAGGCTCTTTGGTCAAGGGTTCAAGGATGGCAATTATAATAACATCTATTTTTCACTTTCCCTATTATAGTTTTTTAAATTGAAATCTATAGCCTGTACCCTACTTATCAGGTACTACTTACTCAGTGTTTAACATAAAACATTTCTAATCCCTTTGATAAGTATTATTAATTCCATTCTGTAGATTAGTTACCTGAAGGTAAGTAAGTTGCCTGAAATTGAAGATTTTGTAACTGGCCCAACATAACTCAAATCCAAGGTCTGACTGCTTAACCCTGAATTGCCTACAGTACAAGAATCCACCATGGAAGCTGAAGGACCCTGACACTTGAAAAATTAATTTAAATTCATTACTTTCAGTGTGCCAGGAGCTTTCCATACATTATTTCTATTAATCCTCATGAAATCATATGAGATTAGTATTATTACTCTAATTTTACCAGGTAGAGATATTAACTCAGAGAGATTAAATAATTTCCTCAAAGTCATGTAGTAGTGAAGAGTGAGGCTAAAATCTATCCTTAGTCTCTCTTTTGATTATGTCTTATCATCCACCTCCAAAACTTTTCACCTTATGTTTTTCTTCTTTGCAAAAGCCACATTCCAGCCAAACTGGTCTGCCAATTGTCTCCTGCATACATGTTGTAATTTTGTATTTCCTTCCTTCTTTCCCATTTTCTTGGGGCATAGGTTTGTTCTGGGCCTTGAACCCAAGGAGTGTGCATGCTAGGCAAGTGCTCTAGCATTACCCCACACTCCCACCATGCCTTGCATCTTGCTCATGCGCTTCGCTACTTTGCTGCTGTGTCCTTGCTCCTTTGTCTCCCACCCAGCCTACGTTTCCTTCCAGTTGATGTATAATCCATAGAGATGGAACAGAAGGTGCACCATCATGAGACCTAAGTAAAATATGTTTTAGCAAGATAACATCCGACTTTTCTGAGAAAATAATGACAACTCCACAATGCAGAACCACCAAGACCTGGAGGCCATTCTTCCACTGGTTTAGGATGGTATGTACCTCTCCTGGATTGTTGAGTTTAGACTGTTGCCCTTGTCTTTACCAAGAACGTTGTGAACCGAGGGAGGGCAAGAACCATATTCTTTTTCTTTCTTAAATGTATTTGCCCTTCAAATTTTACGAGGTTTCAATACACAGTTTGGACTCATAATGGTCCTCCTGTTTTCATCTTTCCCAACACTGGAATTAGAGGCATAAGCTGCTATGCCCAGACCCTGTGGTTAGCTCAGCCCACCCTCGGGGTGGGGCTGGCATGGCATGTGGTGCTGGGGATTGAACCTGGGTCCCTGAGCTTACCTAAGCTTGCCTAAGTAGGTGCTTCAGTCTGCTGAGCTACCTCGCTGGCCCAAGAACCATATTCTAAGTCTTCTTGAGATCCCTTCACCCTCCTCCAGGTAACCAACGCTTTGGTGTGCTGACCAAAGCCTGGCTTCCCCCAGGCAGAGGGGACATTCCCAACAGTGCTGCTTTATGGTAGAACTGGGTCTGTCCTTGCCTGGCCCAGCTGGCCATGTCTCCCTAAGTGGGGCAGTATCTGGAGAGGAATCCTTACATAGTGGGACTCTCCCCCAAACCAAGGGCATTATCCCCAAACTAACGCCAATGCTGTGCGCTTCCCAACTTCACACTAGAAGTTTGGAGCTGAAAGACTTCACGCACCATTCAGCTCAATTGGCTCATTTTACAAATGTGCAAATTGAGGGAACAGAAGAGAAGTGACTTTAAGTCAAGGTCATGCATTTCATTAAAGGAAAGTTTAGGACCAGAGCTATGACCCATACCTCAATACGCATAATACTGTACTGCACACATTTTTTTAATTAAGCACTTTTAATAACCTAAAAGTTATGTTCAGAAGAATTTAGACAATGGAGAAAATGGGGTTGGATCCAGATAGCCAAGATCCTTTCCTGCCCCTTCTCCTGCTCCCTAGGAATTTCTCTGTCCAGAAGGACAGTGCAAAGGACCACAGGTCCATTACTACAACCAGGAAATGATCATGAAGAAGACAGAAATGATTCCAGATTCCTCATTCATTTTCATAAGTGAAATAAGGTATATATTATAAAATGGATAAAGTTCTGTAATCCTTTAATATTGTTTTTTCTGTTTTGACATTTTATTTAGCATATTTCTTTGAAGCCAGATTTACTCTGTCTGGAAAAACAATCAGATGAAATAAGAGTGAGAAAACAAATATGAAACTATACTACAAGGGCTTAGAGTAAAAGAAACTGCAACTTTTGGACCGGCCAGATAGCTCAGCAGACTAAGGCACCTGCTTAGGCAAAGCTCAGGGACAGGGTTCCATCCCTGACCCCACATTCCATGCTGGCCCTGCCCCTGGGGCATGCTGAGACTGGGTGTGGTGACGTATGCCTGTAATCT